TGAGAAAGAGTCCCATCCGAATTTAGTTTTTGTGGAGGAAATACTAGGTTTACACACGTCATTGCAGCAAAGAAACGTGCAAGCTCTCACAACTTCAAAATAAAAAATTGGAATTTACTTACAATTGAGAGACCTCAATACCGCGGGCACAGTTTTCCCCAATTCAGACCTCCCAGCTGGCGAATAACATATATTTCATTCTATTAATACGTAAGATTTTCTCGCACATTTAGGATTATTTTTTAATTGATTATTAGGTTAGGTTTTACTCACTTTCAGAATACTCCCTCATTCAAAAGTTACGTAAGTGATCGATACTTGAAGAGGTCACGAGTGTCTTTGACTTTTGATAAAAACTGTTCTATTGTATTTCAAAGGTACTGGACGCTGAGTTGAAAGACTGCTCACGTGCTGGTGTGGCACCGAGAAAGAAGCAGTCTCAGATGAGGACGAAGAGTTGCTTTGGAGAAATGGATTGTTAAGGCAAAACAGAGCTGAGTTCCTGGTAAATAGTATTTATTTCTATAATGGAAAAATGTTTGGTTTAAGGGAGGGGAGCATCAGAATTTAAGTCTGATAAATGTTGAGCTTGGTTCGAATCAAGAAAATATGTACGAGACGTTTCATAGAGGGATACATGTAATTTTTAACATTTGAAAGCAGACGGTATGAATTACACAGTTACTAGCGTTGCTTCCTGTTTTAAGGCAAGTGTGCGATTTCTCTGTTTAGTAATTACTAATTATCCTGCCTGGATGAACCAGAAAAAACATATTTCGACGATGAAAAAAGGTTATCTAAGCAATAATCACTAACATTTCTAGCGTTTTTGCCTGCTGTAAGACAAGGATGTCTTCTATCGCTGTTCGAGGATCAATCTTATGGCCCAGTTTGATAGTAAAAATAGGAATAAGCATTGCAAAAGAAACCTTAGTTATACAGAAGAAAGGAAATCAATCCCATAATAATTATTTGTGAGAGGAAAAAGAATTGCTTCATGGTTGCCATTCGGCTTAGAAACTGTAAAGTATTACTACGCAGTAGGCAACCTGCGCATTTGTTTTTTTCTGTTGTACGCAGATTCGAAAATGTGGACGCAGAGAGTCGTATAGGATGGGTTAAGTTTTGAGCCAGCTTACTAGTAAACAAAAAATTGTCTTGCGGTGGAGATCTAGCTTCAAATAGTTGAGTAGAATAGTGGTGTTGAATTCAGTTTGGCAACACACAACACTACCCAGTCTTATGCAAAAGCTCGAGCGAGGAAGCTACATAGAAGAGAATTCTTAAAGGTGCGCCTTTCTTTAATATAATTTGACCAGTTTGAATGGTTAGCTCTTTCCAATTGCCTTTTTGTTATTGACCAGATTAAACAAGTGCTTTGAGTCCGAGTTAAAAAGTTAAACATGAACTCGACACAAAAACTTAGAACATAAACTCAGACCATCAACGCATTCCATGAACGCACACAATTTATATAATTCAAGAATACATCGCTCATGTTGGCAGATATATACTTTTTTATGATCATGGTGGATTCGATTGGAATGGACATAGAGTGAAAGTGTTTTACAATCATGAATGTGTGTTCTTAGTAACTGGACTTTGAGTAATTTTAGATGCACCTTATTTCATAGTTTCTTTTATTAGATTTCTTGTAGTAATCAATGAATTTTCCATTGATTTTTTTAAATTAAATGTTATTTAATGATCTGTTTTATGATGCATGTAGATTTTTATCCACAATCCCCTCTGTACTACCCTTCAAGGAGGCAGAGCAATTACAGGTCATGACACAAACATTAGCACTTTAAACATCAACCAAACACTCGCGCACTTAAAGAATTCTCCTTCATTGGAATGTTACGTTTTATGATTTTCTTTTAATACATTGTTACGGTAGCATCTCGGTGCTTTTTAGGTTTGATCTTCATTTGAAAGTTGCGTTAGTGTCTCGGGCATTTTTAGGACTTCCTTACATTCGATTGTTATGCTTGTATCTCTTGCAGCTCTAGTTCTAGTCTCTTGTGCACTCTTAGGGTTTTGAGTATAGATCGTAGATAAGAACTTGTTTGATTGCAGTTTTCGAAATGTTCCCTTTATTAGCAAAAATCAGTTAAAAGGGATATAAACTAAGCATCTCTAGAAACCTGGAGGCTAGTTTACCTCTTAGCAGAGACCTTTAGATCTAAGAATGTTTTTGTGGTGGGGAGATTCAACAGAACTTTTAACCCCCTGACGGCTACTATTAAGGTGTAATTGCGATGATTGATAGTAAACATCTCTGGTTTTTTATGACTTTATTTGAATGGTAAAATCCTATTAAGGACGCATGTTTGTAAAAATCTCAAAAACCTCAATTTCGCGGCAAGGTTGGAAAATCCGATTTCTGCCATATTTCAATTTTAGATAGGTTAAGGTATGACTAAAAGCCCTCTAAAGTATTTTGGGGAAACTGTCTTTGCATTTCAGGGAAAATGCAAATAACAAAAATTTGGTAATATCATTAAATTATTGTACGAGTTTGATCGTTCCGTACATAAATGCACATCATTTGTTGTAGAAGGCAGCTTTAAAACCATTTTAGCGTGGTTTTCTTGTCGCCATTCACCGAGTCAATGTCAACTTCCGTTTAGACGGTTAGATGCACATTTATCGGCAGGAGTCAGCATGTCCCATGTAACCCGGTAAAAAACACACTTTTTGATCATCTTTCCTTCTATATTTTCAATGGCACATCTGATTAAACGGTTAAGTCATCTTGCGAATGCGTTCTGCTTTGCTTTGCGAAATACCTGCATCCCAAACCTTGCTGCTACTTTACCGCTGACAGCGTCATTTAATCGTCACGCAATGCTGCCGTTACATCGAGGGAGTAGGGGAAGAGCTCTGAGAAGGGCTAAATTGTACGTAGATTGCAGTAACACAAAATTTATCAGCTCCATTTATTCAATGCTTAAAAACAAGTAAACTACGACAAGAATATTGATTCTGGTCTCTACTTTTCAGAAATCCCCAGGAAAAGTTTGCTCCGTTGTTTTGGTGGATGAGCAGTGGTGGAGGGTGCAATGTTGGAATTTTTTTACCGCTGCAAAATGATTACTTTTTCCCAACTAACTGAAATAAAATCCATTAAGAGCTGTAAAGCATTTTTTCTCTTTCAGTTATCGATCATAACACTTACAAATTATGTTTTTCTGTCTAAAATATTTTTGCCAATATGTTCTATAAACTGTTGTTCCAGCTGGGCACTAAAAAGGGACTTTCTGAAGTAAACTTTTAGAAGACAATAAATGATTCAGCCGTTTTGCAGAAGGTATGGACTAACAGGAACAAAGCTGTATTTGCGAAAGTCTCTGAAGCAAAATAAATAAATAAATAGAAATGTATCCCTGTGAAGGTGGTTCGTGGGAAAAAAAATCACTTAATATAATTTAGTACAGAGCAAACAGACCAAAGACGTACTTATTACGGAATTATCTACAGTGTTTGCCTACAGGCGGGACTGAGATGTTGCTGTTCTGTCTAGTGTTTTTGCAAAAAGATGAAGGGTAGTTGTTCATCTAAGGCTCTTGTTGGCGGAGTTTGCGGCTTTTCCGATGACGATCGAAAGCGTCAAACTGAAATTATACCATTACTTTCCTGCAATAGGAAAATTGCCAATTACAAATCTACCTACAAATTTACGGATCCTGAAGACGATGTTGACCTTATTTTATGTCGAGCAGCTAAGTTCTCAAGAAACTAACGCGTGCTCACCCTGACGTTATGTCCCAAACATCGCACAAAACTTGGTTTGGGATGGAGCGGAGGATTCAGCACACAATGCAGGGTTCCAGAAGGAATTTCCAATCATGGAAAAGGTAAAGGAACTTGGCCAAGAGGTGAAAGATTGTTGGGGAAGGAGGAATGTGAGATGATCTTGCGCAAGACCGGTTTGGTCGTACAAGTTAGGTCAGGTAGGTTTTTATTTTTTATTAAATACACGTTGTGGTTTCACATAGTCATGCTAGCCAGCGTAGATGGCAGTTTTTTGGGGGGGGGGCAAACGAGCAGCGAAGCCGCGGGAGGAATGGAGAAGAGGCAATGAGTAATATGTCTTTCGCGGCTTCGCCTCTTGTTCGCGCGCGCTTCCTCCAACCATAACCGCTGGTAACGCAGGCTTGTAGTCATGCATACCAACCTAGTTTTGTTCTTTCGATATGTAGGTGTATGTAAGAAATTCAGAGAGTGATTAAAGGAGATGTTACATAGTGAAGTGCGTGATATTCAAGTCTCAGAACTGGGAGCTGAATTAAAGAAAACTGAGCAGATGGAAAGAATGGTGTTGGTGAATATGTAAAAATCAAAAACACTGTCAATTGTTACTCATTAAACAATTTTAAAAAAGCAGGAACACAACAGATGAATAAGATTAAGAGTTGTTTTCTTTATGAATTATTGGCTGATAACGCTGACGTAAATATTTCCTGCAGTTGAGATGATAGTAGAAGTGCTTTAAGCTAGTGAATAACGCTTGATGATTATCGCGAAGGAAATGAAAAATGATCCTTTTCCATGTTTAGGATGGTCGTGATGAGGAGGTGACCTTCAATCTTCTAGAACCGGTGCAAACACCACAGAGTGTAATAACAAATGCTCAAACACCACGAAGTGTAATTACGAATGCTGAAACACCATCAAGTGTCTATCGGCCATCCGGATGTTTTACGAATCCATCTCAGTAGAGATGACTCATTTGAAGAAACGAGCACCCCCAAAAAAAAATTGAATTCCTTACTGGCTTCTAGAGGCGTTAGTCCTATCCGTTATACAATGGTATACCTTGGGAGGAACCCGCCGAAAGAACAGAACAGTTTCATATAAGGAAAGCGAGGAAATCTGTCATTGCATCGTTAGAGGAAATAGCGCCTTACGGTGCAGATACTACTTTGATGAGGGTCCTTACTGAATGTTATGAGAATGCAGGACACTGGAGCTCACGGAGACAGTTACTATCGATTATGGCTGATAAGGCCAGGTTTAAAGTTGTCAAAAAGTGGATACCTAATCTGAAAAGATACAGATACAATATTGTACACCAACATGTTTTGCTTTACGGCAGAGGCACTGCTGTTCTTGCATTAAAAACTACAAGGATGAAAGTACTACCTGAAAAACTAGACCACTTCTTGAAATTCATTACGAGCCAGTATATCATTCAAGATTTGCCATTCGGTGTAAAAACCTTGAAGTTGTCCTCTAACACCGAGATTAAGGTCCCAGACGTCGTAAGGACCCTGATTTCCGAGCAAATAGTCCAACAGTACCTGTGTTACTGTGATGTGACCGACTTTGCCCCGATGAGTCGCTTCACACAGTGTAGAATTCTAAAAGTTTGCTCCGCGTCTGTACGCAAGTCTTTGCAAGGACTTGACTATGTTTCAGCCGAGGGCGCAAAAAGAACGAATTGGCGGTTATCATCGACGAGCAAGGAGACAACTATGGAAAAGGGCACTCCTGGGCAAAAGAGCAACCGGCAAAACGTTATTTCAAATGTAACTATAAGGTAGTACTATAAAAAATAAGTATGATTTTAAAAAAAACATACTTTAAATACCTACTCAGTTATCGAACTTCGGAACTAACCATTTCATGTCAAACCCTAGAAGTACAGAGGGAGTTTAATCGGGACAATAACGTTCCTTTCAGTCTTTCACGAGTGTCACACAAGTCATGTATAGTTCAAACAATTCGATTTGACGACTCGGTTTATCGTTACACTTTGATTGCAGGTACATGTATCGCCAGCTTCTAGAGTTCCAGATCACTGTCGCGCATTTGTTCTCAGTTACCCTGGAGATCCAGATACAGTAGTGATTGCGATCATGATGATTACATCGCATCGATGCGAGTTGTTCCCCGATGTGGTCCATGAAATTGAGTCCGTTTTAGAGGAGGTTCAATCCACCAAAGAGGAAAAAGATGAGATGAAATATAAAGTTTCTCAAGCTAAAAAAAAACTGAAGCATGGTAGGCTCATTTGCTCCGCTTCATCAACCAATATGAAGCACGACTTAATGCCTTAAAACATCTAGACCCATTCTGTGATTTGAGTTTTGGATTGGGCCATTAAATACCTCCCAAGAAAATACCGCGAGAGTTAAACCGAGTGGTTTGGAAAGCGAGGTATCTCATGACACATAACCATGGCCACAAGAATGTGCGTAGGTCAACTTCAAATGCTGTCATTCGCAGATCGTTAAGTACTTTTAACATTTTTTTTCACAAATTCTATATGGCATAATTGGGAATATACACTAACTTTTTCTTACTTAAGCTGTTAATGAAGTTGCATGAAGTATATTTCCAGATATGGTTCAGGTAAAATGGGGATGAGTTGTTGTGAGTTAGTGTTAAATTGAAACTTGAAGCTCACTTCTTTCGTCTCAAGCTTGAACAATTTGAGTTCGAGACGCAAGCATTGTGTCGATATCAAGTTTCCCGTATACTGTGATACAATAATAAATAAATAATAATAATAGATAGTTTAATCTCAAATGCATTTGCAGCCCGAGGGCTGAATTACACATTTTTACAATCCAAGAAATTTAAAATTTAAAATTCAAAAACCTAATTACACGTCTTATTATACCAGCAATTTACAATATAATAACATGATAGTAAATTAAATAAAATACATTAGCTATAAATGTAAACTAATTAAAATAAATTTAAATTAATTAAAAGTATCTACATTATCATTATCATTATTATTACTATAATTATCACGCGTGCCGTAACAAAAATAAAGGATATCGTATCGATAAAAATCTAGCCATTAAACCTCCTTGCCATAGCAAATATAAAAGTGTTCATCGTTCTCGAAGTGCGAAGGCGTGGCATATTAAATTGGCGCTTATTTTTGAAGTTATAGCTGGGTTTATGTATGGGTGGAAGAAGCGCCTTTAACTTGTGGCTAGGGTTGTCTAAGATACCTTTAAAAAGCTTCTGACATAGAAATTCGTAATGTTCTAAGATGGGTCGTATTCCTAAATCTTGAGCAACCGCGCAATCACCCGCAGTTATAATGGAAATTGACCGTTTCTCAATACGTAAAAGCTCATTCTTCAGATATTGCGGAAGTGCATTATAGAAGACAGGTATCGCGTACTCTGTTACAGATCTTACACATGATGTGTAGAAAAGTACTAGGTCTTGTAAGGGAACCCTAGCTCTCTTTAGTTGCACTAAAAATACAACCTCTTACTGGCCTTTTTGATTACTTCTGATATATGACTGTTCCAGGTCAAGTCGCTAGCTATATTAAGGCCCAGGAGCTTTACGCTACTAACTACCTCCAACTCTTTGCCTTCAATTACTATGGGATCAAAGAACCCGGGCCTTTTAGAAAATGAGATCCGAAGCTCTTTGCACTTATCAGAATTCAAGTGAACTCTATTTTCTCGTGACCACTCACTAACACAATCTGCTATATTTTGGGCGTGACTTTCACTCTCTTTTGGTATCATCTCCGAGGCTGTTGTATCATCAACGTATTTCCATAGTGGATACGCGATTTCAAGGTCATTTATCATAAGCACAAATAACCATGGGCCCAATTTTGTGCCCTGTGGTACTCGGAGGGCACAGATCCCCACTCCGAAAAGCACTCCGCAGCCAGCTTAATTCTTTGTGATCTATCAGAAAGAAAGTCAACTATCCAATTGGTAATACTAACTGGCAATTTACACTTAGTACGCAGTTTTCTAATCAGAATTTCATGGTCGATAAAATCAAAGGCCTTTCGATAATCAAATACGATTGTTCTTATAGTAGCGCCATTTCCATCAGTGTTAATTGACCAATTATGTAACATGCTAATTAAGGCCATAGTCGTGGAAGAGTTTGGTATTGCCCCGTATTGGCTGTCGTCAATGATACTCATAACTGCTGGTTTGACGTAGTCGTCCACAATAAACCCTTCTGCGACCTTAGAAATGCATGGAGTAAGCGAGATAGGTCTTAGGTCCTTTTTCAGTTCCTTTACTGATTTCTTTTTGGGCAGGGGTGTCACGTCAGCCAACTTCCACATTTTTGGTAAATGCTGCTCGGAGTAGGAGGCATTAAGGATTTCTGTCACTGGGAAAGCCACTGCATCTGAATATTCCTTCAGTAGCCAATTGGGAATTCTATCAGGCCCACACGCTTTCCCAGGGTTAAGGTGAGACAGAACCTTCTGAACACGTTGTTCACCCACGTGCAGGATCTCTGGTGTTGTATTCGCCTCCATGGGGAGAAACTCTAGTGGAGTTGGCAGTCTGTACTCCTCCAGCGGTTCTAAAAACGCGGCATTGATGGTGTTGGCCTTTTCTATTAATGACAATTCTGAAAAACCTTCCACGTCAATCTGGCTCAGAAGGTCGCCATTTTTCCTTTTTGAGCCGCTCAGACGCTTTACTTCGTCCCACCATTTCTTTGGGGCTTCTTGTCTTAAATTCTGAATTCTCACTTCATAATATTTAGCTCTGCATGCCTTTCTTTCCCGGTTAACCAGATTTCGGAAGAACTTGAATTGGGCAGAGTCGCCGCCATATGATTTGAACGCTTTTTGTCTTTTCAAAATCATTGACTTCAGCTTATGGTCAATCCAAGGAGCGTCCGCACTACAGGTGCGAATTTCTTTCTCAGGCATCAGAATATCAAGCCCTGTATGTACAGCAGTGTGGAAAATCTCCCACTTTTCCTGGCAACTATCCGTAGGAGCGAACAATAAAGGCCAATCAATAGAGGTTAGATATCTCCCCAAGGCAGCCTTGTTACTCTCACGTAAGTCACGCCTTTTAACAACGTGCTTTCTGTTTACATCACGTTTACCATCTTTTGGCGACACAACAACAGCGTTGTGATCCGACAACCCGAATGGAGGGTAGGCTTGTGGCGGATTATAGTATTCTTGCATGTTAGTGAGCACCAAGTCTAATATGGCATCCTTCCGGGTCTGAACTTGAACTATTTGCTGGAGACGAAAGTGATTCAGCAAGCCCTTAATATCCAAGCGGTTGAAATCTCCTGTGACGACCAATCCACAGTTGGGATATCGCGTCTCCGCTAGGACGAGGGACTGGAACAAATGCTCCCGGATAGATGTCCCATCGGCCTTGGGGGGGTGATAGATCACTGCCGCGATTATGCAGGAAAACCCCCGGGGGAGGCGGTTTGGTCTTAGATGGAGCCACAATGTCTCATGATTATCACAGCACTTTAAATCGTTCAGTTGTTTATATTTGCACCGTTTTTCTTGAATATAGACACACACACCACCGTGTTCTAGTGTCTTCCTGTCCTCACGCACAATAGCAAACCCGGGGATGTCAACAACGGTGTCCAACACAGAGTCCTTTAGCCAGGTTTCCGTAACGAACGCAAGGTTGATATGATTACGAGTGATAAACTCGCTAACTTCATCCATTTTGGGGGGCTAAAGACATGACATTCGCTAACATGATCTTAGGAACTTTGGGTGACCATTCAGTACTGGCTGCTCTGTTTTCCTTGGTGCAATCTATAACAATGCAGTTGTTTAGATTGCTACGTGGAAAGGTGTCATTTTGAATATTTAATATGTTCGCCAGTTGGTTATGTAAATGAGGTTTCCTGTGAAGGAAGTTCTTGGCAAAGAAACACCCATTAAAGTTCGGAAATTGCTGAGTCTTGCGTGCTCCATTCCCCATGCAAATCCCAATCTGCCTTTGTTTGCGCTGTCCTGCGTTTTGTCCCTCGACGTGTAGGTCTTTGCCGTGTTATTCCCAGATCAGATATGTTGCGCCATAACTCACAACCGAGCGACTTCTTCGTCGTTGAAGATAAAATGGTATTCAGTGCCGCTCTTGAATAAAATATCGCCATGTAACTAGAGGCCAATATTATAAAAATCTACTTGTGATTAAAATAGTGCTCTTTGTCGTTTCGAGGAAGTTATTTTGAAGAAAGTTCGCTTAGAATCACGGAGCAGGAAAAAACGCGTGCTGCCTGTCAGGCGCTACGTCATAGAAAAACTCAAAAATACAGTTTATGACTTTGAAAGATCCAATGAGGGTTTGAAGTTCAAGGCTTTAAGGTTCATTTTCAAGCTTGCTTAATTTGAGAAATAGTAAAAATTATTTTTTTCTTGGATGATCAAGTCTAGTATTTCATGTTCACTACCTCTAGAGATGGTTCCAGTCAAGTCTTTGAATCCTCTCAAAATTTGAAGAAGTGTTTATTATACAAAGCAATAAATTCATTTTTTTATACACTGTATTTTAAAAAGTATGTTAATAGTTGGGGATGTGTGCTTTACATTGCAGCTGAACATAAGTATGAGTAAAATAATGAAATACTTGCTTTTGTAGTCCTTTTTTGGTGTGTTACACCTGTTGGTAAAGAAATTTTGAAAAAGTGACGTTCATGCTCTCATAGGCAAACAACTTGAATTATGGTGTGCTATGTTTTAATCATTGTTTTGAATTAAAACTTACCATAATGAAGTTAGTAACAACGCTGTAGTATTCTTTAATTGGTTGTGAGGCATACATTTTCTTCTCACAGAATGCAGTTAGAGAAAGTCCTTTAAGTAGTTAAATTCTGCTTAAGGCAGCAAATGACATGCCATCTTGAAAGACAGTTTCATTTGCATCAATAACTGCTTTAGATAGTGTAAGACCTTGAACTTTGTGGACTTTTGCTGCCCAACAGGGTTTCAATGGCAGTTGCGTTTTTTCCACAAACTGACTCCCTTGGGCCAAAAGAATTGTTTTGTAAATGGATTTAATCCTACAGACTCAGAATTGGATGAATTAATTTTTACAGCATCAAACTTTGCTGTAACCGTCTGAGGTGTAACATGACTATTGTTTGTAGTTCTGCATTTGATGGGAATTATGTTTGTTATTGTTCCAATTGCGCCATTAACTAATCCTCTTGACGGATCAGTGTTCTTTGAAAGCATTACACGCATTCGCAATCTCCATTGAATTTG